CTTCTATGAACTTTATAGTTTTAGGCTTTATATTCAGGGCTTTGATCCATTTTGAAGTAGTTTTTGTATATGGTGTGAGGTATGGGTCCTGTTTCATTTTTTTGCAAATGGATATCCAGTTTTGCCAGCACCATTTGTTAAAAAGACTGTCTTTTTCTCATCTGATGGACTTTGGGGGGAACCTAAGTTTTAAAAACGACTATGATGTAAATAGTTTACTGCCATTATTTCATTTAAGGGACACTTGAAAAACAAAAACAAAAAACACCAAACCAAACCCATTACCATTGAGCAGATTCCAACTCATAGCGACCCTATGGGACAGAGTAGAACACTTCCCCATAGGGTTTCCAAGGAGCAGGTGGTGGATTGGAACTGCCAACCTTTTGATTATCAGCCGAGCTCTTAACCTCTGTGCCACCAAGGCTCCTAAGGGACACTAGTGTTCCTTTTTTCTGGAATGCCTAAGCTCTTCCACAACCTCCTTAATAATATTATGGCGATGCACTGACAGAACACACCTCCGGTTAAGATGATCTGGATCCAATAATTGAGTAAGGGGAACTCTGGTAATGTAGTCTTGATTATAGTGTCGTAAGAACTGGCAGGGTGACTTTCTGTATCAGCAACCAAAAAACCAGTTGCTGTCAAGTTGACCCTGACTCACGGCAACCCATGTGTGTCAGTAGAAATGTGCTCCATAGGGTTTTCAATGACTGATTTTTTGGAAGTAGATTGCCAGGCCTTCTTCAAGTCACCTCTGGGTAGGCTCAAACCTCCAACCTTTTGGTTAGTGGCCTAGTAGGTCTTCACCACCCAAGGATTTTGTATCAGCAACAGATACCCTCAAAGCCTGTGAGAACAGCTTGACCTTTGCTGACCTGCAGTGTGTTGGTTAGCTGCCTAGAGCTATAGGTTATCATTACAAAGAGATTTGCCTTGGTATGCACAGGAGAGCCAAAACCAGCCTAGGGGCAAATGGACCAGGTAGGCTCCAAGGGCCTCAAATACCTTCCTATGCTTGTGGGCCAACTTGATGTTCCACGGATGGACTTTCATTCATAAGGTCGCAATGCTTGAGGATTTCCTACTTTTAAATCCCAGCTCTACCAGTTCCTGTTGACTGAGTAAACTGGGGATAGTCCCTTAATTTGAGTCTTCCTGTAAATTAATGAGATCATCCATAGAAGGCAATTAACCAGCAACTGGCTTATGGTACACCCTCAATATATGTCAATTTTATTATTACACAGACTTAAAGTATTTCCTATTAAGCTGCAGATACTCAGGGAAGGATGCCTTTTTCCAAGTTAACACTTGGGCACGGGGGGAGTTGGATTCTGACCACTTACCTGTCAGTTAAGAGGTAGTAAGAAGAAAGGGACCCAGGATTAAAAGCAGAGAACTAGGCTAAAGGAGAGAAATAGCTTTGACATTTTGCTCCAAGCCACAGTGATTCTTCTACCTGGAAAAGCACCCAACGGTTGCAGCTACCCAAGTGTAAAGCCATACTGTTGCAGAAAGATAATCTAATTGCCAAATCCAGATCATGGGATCATAGCCCCCTGGACCTTAGGGACTGCACCTTTCTCTAGCAACGGTTCTACCCTGAGGACACTATATATAGACTTTCTGTGGTAAAAGGTATTCGACTGTAGAGCCGCCCCATTTGTTCTTTGTTTTCTGACCTGCCACAGACTGTATGCAGAGATTTAAGGCCCTGATATGTGTGGCACTTTGTCACTGGAGAGGCTGCTTATACTGCTACCTGTTTCCATCAGCCAATGGAAAGCCACAGCCCTCCTTCACATCTGAGTGGAGACTTCCATTTGTAAAGTCATCCATCACCTCTATGTATCAGTCATTTGTAGACTGCAAAGCATCTCCTGACCAGCAAGGAGACAAGAGGAAATGGCATTTTGGAGACTTTCTGTTAAGCTGTTTTATACAAAATGAATGAACGATTATTATTTTTTTCCCTCTCCTCAGCGTATCCAGGAGAGGCTGATTCTGACACAAACCTCTTTAAGAGAAACTTCATTTTGCCTCCCACTGGGTCAGGGAGGGGTACACACACACACACACACACACACACACACACACGTCTTCACACATCCAGTTTGTGACACAAAATGAAACACTGACCTGTTAGGCCAGAGGCCTCAGCAGACAGGAAGGCACTCCACGACAGGAGGAAGAACAGGCCCGTTTCCAGCATGGGGAACTCACACAGCCTGGTAAATTTGGTCAAGTGAGGAAGATGTGTTAAGGAAAACAACAACTGCTTTTACAGCTAAATTGCATTTTTGGCTGAGAAAAACTAACCTGGTGACAGTTTTAGTGTAAAAGACCTGATTTTCAGGTCTGACTGGAAAGCCATAACTCATTGGTCTCTACTTTGATGGTCCACATGAGTATTTTGCTGAAAACTCCGTTAGAAATCCAAACGTGTGTTCAGATAAAAAGGTGTCTTACTAATAGGATGGAATCAGCTAACTGTGGGCACACAACTTCTCAACGTGTGCTCAATCCTTGTGGTGTGCCCCTCAGGGGAACTGTAGCAAATATGGGAAAACCAAGCCAAGGAGAATGTGGCTGGGGTGAGGAGGCTGTAAGTATGTCAACGCCAAAGACGGCCACTGCTCCCTAGGGAATCCTGGCCTGTGGGCATATGGCCTTGTAGAGTCTTCTTTCTTGGGGATGGAAATAGGATCAGGAGGAGCATTTATATTCAGTGATAGGAAAGATGGCAGTGCCCTTTTGGAATAAGTAGGATGGAGGAGAAGGTGTATTATTTCTAGGTCAGGCAAGATGCCCCTTGGCAGGCAATGATTCATTTTGGCTTGGATGACACTTGGTCAATAGTCTATAAATTGCAAATAGGACAAAGGGATAGTGATCCAAGTCAGACAGAGAATGGGTTACAGGGAAATGATTAGGAGGATGTGATCGATGGAAAAGGGTTACATAGCCATTGTGTCCATGTTAGGCCAAAATCTCCCTGACAAGTAAGAAAGAGATGTTGACATGTGGCATTTCTTTGCTTCTAGAACAAAATCTAACGTAGAGTCCACATTAAGAGACATTTAGCAGCAGGCAGAGAAGCACAAGCATGACCTCTGGGGTGGAAGATCCAGGTCTGACTCTTGGCTGTGCCAGTAACTGGCTGGGTGGTTTCTATGCAGTATGTTAACCTCTTCGAGATTCATCTCTATTTTCTGTAAACTGGCAATAAAGATAATACCTACTTTCACAGTATGGAGAGGAAAATGAAATGAAGTATGTTAAAAACGTTTCGTCAAGTTTTAGAAAGCACAAAATACTGAGAGACAGAATAACATAGTGGTTGGAGTGTGAACTCTGGAAGCAGACTTCCTGGGTTCAAATTCATGCAACTGCTTGGACAAGTCTCTCGACCACTCTGACTCTCAGTTCCCCTATCTGAAAATGAGGGTACTATACAACCTACATCATAGGTATACAAACCCATTAATACACATTAAGTACTCAGAACAATGCCTGTTATGTAGCAAGTGGTATGCACATTTTTCTATTACTATGATTTCAGTTAATTTGTTTTGTAAAACATCTTTATTGGAAATAGAACTAGTAAGGATCTACAAGTAATTCTTTATCTGGAGGGAAAAACGGGTTGCCCTCAGACCCTTTTTTCAACATCCCTCATTATTTGAAGAAAAGGGTTTGTTTCTAGTGGGTTTTGTTTTAAAGAGAAGCCTCAGGCCAGTTCGAGTAACAGAGTATCAACGGGCTATGGGGCATTCATTTTTCTCAACCTCCTCCAGAAAGAAATTCAGTTCTGGGTCAACCCCAGACCCATAGCAGGGGCCCTGGGAGCCTTTGCCTCATTTGGGACCAGGTTTTGAAGTTATTACTGTGGAGAAGATGACTTTACCCGCCTGCCCACTTCACAGCTTGTGTTTGTGAGTGCTTGTTAAAGGCCATCAAGTGCTGCAAGATTGATCTGCCACTGTCACTGAGTTCCCATATCTTCATCTCTATATCCTTTCTTCCAGAACTGATTCGATCTCATGGCAGACTTCCAATCACCAGGAAATTTTTTTCTTCTCTTATCAATCTGTTTATTTATGTGTCCATACCATTCCCTCACAACAGACAGGGTTCCTATTTCAGCTCTTCTATCTACTGCAGACTCTGGAGCCGAAAAGCCTGGGTTTGAATTCTGGCCTTGTGACATACTAGTTGTAAGGCCTTAGACAAGTTGTTTAACCTTTATGTGTCTGAGTTTCTTCAGCTGTAAAATTGGGATAATAACAGTATCTACCTCCCAGGATTCTTGTAAAGTCTGAGATAATCCATGCAAAATGCTTAGGGCAATGGCTGGCAGGTAGTAAAGTTCTCAATAAATGTTAGATGATATTATTATTATCATGCTCATTATTACTAATTTCTAACCCAGAATGAGCCTCTTAACCTCCTTGAGTGTCAGTTTCCTCATGTGTAAAGTGAAGGTAATAATAACCTGTTTTACAGGGTTGATTCAAATGAGGAAATGCATATAAAGACCCTCTCACATGGTACGCATTCAGCAAATGTTGCTATCATCATTATCATTACTCTACTCTAAATAACATGTGACTTTCATCACAATACCACCCAATAATTAAGAGGCAAAAGGAAGTAGCGATTAAGAGCATGGCCTGTCTCTAGGTTCTCACTCCCTGGGTTCTAATCTCTGTCAGCTCTACGATTCTCTAGATGCATGATCTTGGGCAATCGCTCACCATTTCTAAGCTTCAGTGCCCAATAAAGAGAATATCTGTGTGGTATGAACATTGTGAAGATTAAATTAGGTACTGCATGTAAAACAACTGACAAGGAGCCTGGCATATCATAAGTACTTGGTAGACCATTAGCTGTTATTTTTGTTGGAAACCAGCCCCACCTTTTCTGAATCACTTTATTTCTGTCAACGGTAGTGCCATTCTCCAAGGTTTCCAGGGAAAATCCTTGGAGTGGTCTTTAATTCCCTTCTCTTCTCTATCTCTTATAACCAACCAATCATCAGATCCTAGAGATTGTTCCTGCTAAGCGTTGGTCTCTTTCCTGTTGCTTCCTTTCCAAAGTTGGTGTCTTTATCAACAGTTCATCACTATAGCTTTCCTTGGATTCTAATCCCCCTCTCTGATTCATCCTACATACCAGTTCTATGTTTATGTTTTAAAAACAGGGCTTTCAGCTTGTCACTCTCCTACGCAGAAACCTTCTGTAGGCCACTCTCTTTGTGGCTTACAGAAAAAAAAAAAAAGCTCAGAATCCTTTGAATAACACCCTATGATGCTCCATAAGTTGACTCCATCCCACCTGTGCCCTCTCGTCTTCCATTTCTTACCAGCCCAAGCCCTGTGGTTCTGGCAGGTTTATCTGTCCATGTGCCACACCGGTTCCACCTCCACACCTTAAAGAATGCCGGTCTTTCCCTCCTGAATCACTTACTACCATAAGCTTTGCCTATATCCTACCTATCTTTCAGACCAAGCCCAAATCCCACTATGCATATAAATACTACTTTTCAAATTACTTTCCAGAATCATAAGGTTCCCACAAGTCTATCAGATTATTCCAGATACAACTGCCTCATCCCAATTTGAATGTACAGTCTTACTCTCTTGGCTATGGCTTTGGCACCCACTTTGTGTCCTATGCTCATTCTATATAGTAGGTAGCTTATCTCTCCAAACTTGTCACTGGTTGAAGGCAGGGTCCACATTTTACTCCTCTTCTGAATCTTGTTAGAAACTTTCAGCAGAATATGTTATAAATCAGGGACTACCTGTATATCCTTTTAGCAGGTGCTCAGTAAATCTCCGGGTGGGTGCCCATGGAAAAAGATCCCAACATTTTGCCCTTTCCTTGGCTGGAGTCCTGCACTCTCTTTCCCTCCCTTTTCCCAAGGCCTTTGGCTCTTGATCCTTTGTGCTGTCTCTTCTCTGGCCTCCATTCAGTCCTCACACTTAACATTCATCTTCTGGATTTCCTCCTCAACTCTGGCTCACTTCACCCACAGTTGCTCTGAGTGGACAGTCCACCAGACCTACCTCGACCTTCTGGACTTTTCTTCCCATAGCTCAAATCCTCTAGGGACTCTAACCATCTCCCACCCCCACTGCGAAAGAAGGAATCAGGCAACTCAATGGCCCAGATGTGATAAATATGTCATTTCCTTATTGCTCACAGATCCCCTTCCATAAGTTACTCTGGGTGTTTGTTTAAAATCACAGTGATTTTTGGCCTTGGTCTACCCTGTGAGCTAGTGATTGACAAGCTTGGAAAAGAGGAGAACATACCCAGCTTATCACCCCCTTGTTTCTGACCCTGGATCCTCAGTTTTTCCTCTTGACCCTCATACGGCCAATCCTGATGCCTTCTACCCGCTACTTTCTCTAGATGGAAATTTTTTTTAAAAGGCTGTTGATATCCTAGGCTCAGACAGTATCAACAGTGCTAGAATAGGCAATGGACGAGAAAAGGGCCAGGCCCCTCTGCCACTGGTACCTGCCTGTGCCTCCAGGGATGACCCAGAACCAAGATGGCCCCAGAGGCGCTGTCTCACACTCAAATCAGACTAGCCCTTTAGAGGCTTTAAGGTTATTCATCCTCAGTTACACTGCATGGACATTGCCTGATTCTTAACAGTCCCCAACTTTTGATACACAGACAAAGGATATGAGGGCTGTGACAACAGCATATGCAGATCCCATTGCAAATGAGCCAGCAAAGATCCCCAGGAAATTCCCCACTGACTGGAAGAACGCCGCAGCATCAAACACATTTGGATTCTCCTTGGGACTGTATATGGATATTGAACTGAAAAAAGAAGAGAGTGAAGATCAGTCAGTGACTTCCATGTTAATACAGTTCTAATACCAGAAGTCAGAATCTAGCAACCACTTTTGGGAAAGGTACCGTTTCCTGTAAGGTAAGGTGCAGGTTGGAAGAGTTTAGGGGAGAGATGGGGAAGGTAGAAAGCATTCCCCTTCCTATGGCCCAATCCCACGGTATCCATATATTGCTGCCAGTCAGTAAACATTTTTATATTGGAAGGGCCATAAAGAATATTGTTTCTGAGCAAACTAGGCATTAAAACATGGTACGTATATAAGGAATCTGCTGAGAGATAGATAACTGTGACTTATTTAGTCGCCATATGTCTTCAGTGCTGTTATATATTCACAAATGTTCCTGATAAAAAGTGCACTTTTATGGCCTATGCGCAAATGGGCGATACAAATCACAGTGTGCACACAATATTCTGCTGCAATCTTGTCATAAGCACAAAGCTTTCTTCTTCTCCACTGTAACCCTTCAGAAACAGAGCCTTGAAGGTGTTCAGAGTGATCACAGAACTAACCCCCAGGGAGAAACAAAACTCTCATTTGCCCAACAAGACAAATGGTAGCAGCTGCCCGAGGTCATCTTTTATACTCCAATTCTGGTGGCTGCCAACAGATTTACCAGCACAGAGAAAAATCAATCCACCAATAGGCACACTGTTCACTTAAATATTTTTGAGGACGTCATATTTCCTGTGTTTTTTTTTTTTTAACCAGAATCTCAAATCCCTGTGTGTTATTATCGAGGACAAGGAGTGTCCTATTTTCGGAAACACAAACTCCATATTGTAGCATTAAAATGAGCAGATGTGCTAAAATCAGGAGCTTATGGGAGACTGATAAAGAAACAGTTCAGGTTTTTTTTGTTTTTTTTTTTTTTTGAGTTTTCATTTTAACATGTGGGGGTCTTTAAAACTAATCAGGAAAAAATCAAGTTGAAGCAGTATCAAGAGTAAAATGTATCCTAGACACAGTGAATCGAGATTAGATGGGCGTTTACAGAGCTGTGACAGAATCTTCTAGGGCTCAGGTGATCAGAGCACGTTAACCCTCTGACCTGACTTTGTATCCAGAGACTAGTTAAGAAAGAGGAGGAGCGGGCTTGGATTCTGCAGGAAGACCTGTGACATAAAAAAAGGTCGTTTTAAATGTTCTTAGTTTTTCCTTCGATGTCTTGAAACCCCTAAAGTAGGCCAAACGCTTCTGCTTTGATGCTGTAGTTGGATAAGGAAGATGAATGTGGCTCTTGAATGGGGCCCTGAACTGTATGTGAGAAAAGGACTGCCTTTGAAGTGCTTCTCTTTTTGTAAAGTGTTGTGCTTTGCAGACCAAAAAGAAAGAAAGAAAAGCAACCCCGCGTTTGGGTGCTCTGTATCTGACAGTCCTGGGAAACGTGTTAAAATCCCCTTGCCTTTAAGAACACTGAATCCACTCGATGGCAACGAGTATGTATGTATGCATGTGTTTAAGAACCCTAGTCCCAAGGCTGTGAGGCTGGGTGTTTGCATTGACATCCACCAGCATATTCTTCAATCCACTGAGGAAACAACATTGTTGAGTCGATTCCAACTCATGGTGATCCTATAGGACAGAGGAGAACTGCCCCATAGAGTCTCCTAAACTGTAATCTTTATTAGAGCAGATCACCAGGTCTTTTCTCCAGCGGACTGAGTGGTGGGTTCGAACTGCAGACCTTTTGGTTAGCAGCTGAGCACTTTACCACTGTGCCACCAGGACTCCTTCAGGAAACAGTAGGAATGAGAAAACACTGCATTTGCATCCTGCCTTCCCAGCAAGGATTTTTGCATAGTAACACAGTTTTGTAAATTATTCTGTTCATTCCCATTCCGGAGGCAGCTACCAGTATATAGGACCCACAGCACAGCAGGGCTTCACCCTTGGCTTCCCCTTGGAGCTTGGAGCACCACCTTCACATCTTTGGCCACATCTTTCCTAATGTTTATCTTTAAATCAACTCATTTTTTACTCAAATGCAAGAGCCTTTATTAAAAACTGTCTGTGAAATGACAGGTTTAATGTGCTAATTATATTTCTTTTTAATACATAGGAGATTATGTAATTATTAAACTCAAAAAAAGTTCACCTGTGTGTCACCTAAAGTCATCTGGCTAATCACATAAGTTTGCGGTCCACACTTTGAGAAACATTGTTCTCTTTCTGGATCCTGAACCCTACCCAACAGGGTACATTATACCCCCTTTGTTCTCCAAACTACATATTCTTCCCTGTGATATTTGTCTTAAGTGGAGGGAAAAGCAAATTTCCTTGGCCTATGGAGACTTGTCCATTGAAGATGCATTAAAGCTCTCCAGGATGTATGCACTGGGTACCTGCTATGTGCCAGGGGATACATTAAATACTGGAGTATTGTGGGCAGGCAGAGAAAATGCATAGAGAAGAAAAGCAGACTTTGATTCAACAAAAATTTTATTGAACACTTGCTATATGCAAGACACAATTAGGCAGAGAAGCCTAAGATGTAGATGACAAATACCTATAGTCCCAATGCTAAGTATGATGTTGTGAGAAATACATGGCACTCAGTGATGCTACAGAGGAAGGGGTGTTATTTTAGGAGAGAGGAGATGGCATCTGAGCAATGTAGGAGGTGGACAGTGGTGGAGAGAGGGTATTCCAGGCAGTGGGAAGAGTGTCAACAAAGTCAAGGAGGCAGGCCAGTAGAGGACGCATTCAGGTCCCAACTAGGTGGTCGTGGCGCCTGGAACCCAGGAAGCTTGTATGTGGGCACATGTGAGTAGGAGTCAGGGTAGAGGAGGAGTAAAGGTGACCGGAGGCAGCATCACTCAGGGCCTTAAACTGATAATACATAAAAGCTCTCGCATTTATATAACACCGAGTCCTCTCACCCTACATTATAACTTCATTGAGCCTATGACACCACAGTGAGGTAAACAGAGCAGGTATTATTATCCCTCTTTGTCTTTTTATATGTATATAAAATAAAGACCAGAGAAATTACTTGATCTGCCCAAGATCGCCTAGCACTAAGTTCAAAATGTAGACTTCTTTGTTCTTTCTTAACACAGTGACGTTGCTGGGAGGACACATGCACTCATAGGAGGATAGTCAAGTGACAGGGGCAGGCTGACTCTCAGGGCAATAGCAGTTGAAACTGGAACTTATTTGCATGCCTGGCATGAACCTGGGCAGCACCCTCCTATACACAAGGATGAGAACAGAGCCCATTGTACGGGGCAACAGCACTCCTCTCCTGTCACACCAGCAGGAGACAACCTAGGCTTCTCACCAAAAGCTGCTTTCAGGCGTGGCTTCCTCTCTGGACCTTAAGCTCTTGCTGGGCATGGCCTGGGCCTTGGTCTTCCTTGCGTGCCCAGGACGCAGCCTGGTACCTGGCATGTGGGAGGCTATAAAAAGACTGACCGAATAAAGGCAGGACGACTGGGAAAGCAGAAAGGAGAGAAGGAAGAAATGCAGGAAGGAAGGAGGCTCGCAAAAGCTAGTCATCTGTTGAAATGAATCTTCATCCACAAGATGTTTCATTGGGCATTATCTAGTCAGATAGTGGGTATTTTCAGAGTGATCAAGCCAAGCGTGAAGGTGACACTGGATCCTCCTAACAGTGCCTCAAAGATTCCACACTTATTGGCTCTATGGCCTTGAGCAAATTACTTAATCACACTCGACTCAGTTCATCATCTGTAAAATGGAGATAGCAATAGTATTTATCCCCAGTAATGCTGTGAGGATGTGAGATATATTTAAAACTCTCTATTTATCCTATGAATTGTAGGTCCATTCATTGAGTGCTTATCATGTGCACTCAAGATAAACATTCAATGAATGTTAAGTATCGTCATCATCATCAGTCTGCTAAAAACTTCCACAAGCCTCACAATGGCAGATACTAGAGTGTGCTGGCTGAACTAGGCCTGGGTACCAGCTGTGGGCAGGTGCGGTGTGGCTCCCCTCACACCAAGCTTTGAGGTTGCCGGAGAGTACTGGTCACTTTCATGGGAACAGAAGGATCTCCATGGTGAAAAGTCTCCAGATAGGCACCCCTGGAAAATGGCCATGGAGTGAGGCTAGAAGTTTCTTGTATTCATTCTTGGGCCCTTAGCTGAGTGAATCAAGGAGAGAAGGAGTGTTCTCAGCAGCCTAGGCAGGAATCTGCCACAGGGATAATGAACAGGCCAGGAGGTTCAGCTTAAGTTGCATTTCCCATTCAGTTGGGGATGGTCTTCAGGCAAAGCCTTTTGCTTTGAGTGAGGAATGAGGCCAAGGAAGCAGGAGCCTGATGGCCTGGGAAGGCTTGCTTTTCTCCCAACTGTCAGGACTTCGTTCCTCCAGGCTTTAGTCTCTGGCAATGGGGGCAATTCTGTGGACTCTGGTTTTCAGCTGACACACCAGGCTTCTTGACTGAGGAGCAGCAGCTGCAGGGGTCATTGTTTGGCAACAGCCAAGGATTTGAGTAGCAGGTGTGGAGGTTTCCAACTTCAAAACAGGAGAGAGATAGCTTTGTTCCAGCGACTTCAGCCCTTTGGACGTGCAGAGAAAAACTCATCTTCCCCTTCCCCAAGGGAGAGTCTTGAAACATTATGATGCAGATGCTGCAGCGAGCAGGGAGAAAAGGGTAGACGAATCAGACTTTCTGTTAACCTGTGTCTTTGTTCTTTGGAAGCCCACTCTGTAGAGGCACTGTTTGTAGCACAAGCTGGTGAAACAGGATCTACAATCCCAAATTTCTGGGAAAGAATCTTTGAGTTGGATGGAACCCATATCCTTGAAAATAGCATGGCCAGAAATAAATAGTGATGTTTAAATATGCATCTCATAAATTAGAAATAAATCCGGGTTATTGATTCATTCTGCTCAGGAACAGATTACTCAGCAAATACTAGTTTGATGGTAGTATATTTTATCCTTTCTCAGAAATAAATGTGTGTAAGATCTTTTATTCAAAAATTTCAAAAT